AAACGATGTACGCAACAATTCTAATGAGCTCCTCCTCCCTCTGTGACCTTATACAATTTCTCTTCTACAGGGTTGGTGAAGTTAATCGTACTTTGATCAACTTTCGCATTTCTAGCAAGAGATCTCCCATCGCTGCTTTAGTCTGCTACGTTGGGTTTACCTCTTGCTTTTTATTGACAACGTGAAGAGGTTTTCATGTCCATCGATATCAATATCATCTAAATGACCAACAACACACCAAAACTACTCATCGTCAACCACATGCGTCTGAGGAAATCTTGAGAGATTCTCGCTGGTTTTTATGTACTTTCAACTCAATGCGTGTGATCAATGAAAAACTCACGAGCACAGCTGAGAAAAGCGAACATATATTGCAACACTGCAACACGCATGTGCCACATATCTCGATGAACTACGACGATGTCACATATCGCGTTCTGCTCTGTGGTTTCCGCTGAACCCCGTGGAAAGAGGGGGAGATTCGGTCTCGCGTTCACAGTTTTATGAATTCGAGTAGAAATGTGTAAAAACCAATAAGAATTTTCCCAAAAATTTCCCCAGAATTTTCATATTGTCACCAACACACACGTAGTTGACCATGTACATACCCCCTAGGTACACACATTCATTGACAGGATAACTTTTCGAAGCACCTACGAGTTGGTCCAATAAATAACTGTCGTTATAACATCGCTACCGCGATTAGGACCGGGACCTATGCTTTCTCGTCAATCTCGCTACGCCCTGCGAGACATTATTCTAAGTTCACCTTTCATACGTAGAAGTTCTACGGTAGAACACGATAAACTGTCAGTCGTGGTATTTTTCATGCGTAGGTTTGCATCTGGCTGTTCTGCATGATAGCGTAGTTCATGTTGGGAACTACGCCACCGTTAGGGAACTTCTGTGATGATTCATTCGGCGTGTTTAACAGACCTTCGAGAGCCGACCCAGGATTAGATATCACATGTAAAACACTCGATCTTGGGTGCGCTCTTAGAACTCAGGAGAGGCGGTCTATCGAACCTCACCCCAATTATATACTCATATCTTTGCTCGTCGCCCGCCCGACCGTTTTGTTCTGTACTGTCTCGTAGTAGCATGATCAACTAAGCAAGATTAAGGATTGATTTCTCTCCTATGGTTGTGTTCAATGATGATCTGGACAACTCTCCCAACACGACTAACGAGTTTGTAATCCCCGATGAGCATAATTATGATCATCAGTTCTTGAGCTTCACTTCGTTTATTGTCTGTGTGATAGTATGTGACTCCTATTAAGTGGCCGAGATACTTCTAACCATTATATGTATTTTTTACAAACATGCTTTTGTGATTGTCCAAGTTTACCTTGAAAAGGTAATGTAAATGTGCGCGTGGCCAACAACGCGTGTTGTTAACGAGGTTGTGTGAGAATTTCGGGAAGTTCTCGTTGGTTTCTGTGCACTTCTACCCGAATTCGTATATATACTCTTACAATTAATGAGGAAAGCGAACATATATTCTAGTACGGTGTAAGGTGTGTTTGGGTTTCGCATTTCTCATTTGTTTTTCCACAAGTTTTTGTCAATACTAATGTCAATAACTCGATTGGAATGCACTTGATGGGAAAGTGTTATTCTAAGGTAGAATAGGGCACTACCAAAACGTGAGCGTATCACACGACAAGTTGTCGTTTAATATAAGGATTAGAAGAACTTCTTTTAAAGGCCCAAAACCAATTGAAAATTTCTGTGAGCTCCGTATGGAATTAAAAAGCTCAGGTGTATTTCGCTACTCTAAGACTTATTGTAAACACGATAGGAAAAATGTGTAGATAGTCGGAAAAAGTTTCCGAAAAAGGTTGGGAAAAAATGGGAAAACTTCCCAATCTTAGTGAAAACCCGCTTATCGATTACTCTGTCGTGGACAACTATTCGAAGTTATGATGGTTATAATAGAATTGCTGAGATCACAGATGTACCGCTGCAGCTGGAAATATAAAATTACTCGTTGGTTCGAATCCATTTTCACTGTTTCTGAGGAGAACTGAATTCGACCAATCTCAACAGGGGAAGCTACCGAAAACTGACGGCTACTCGTAGATGTCTGTGGCCATCCACTGCATGTATTTCCCACCGATATCAAAGTTGTAGATACGATATTGTTTTCGGATAGAGCCTAAAAGCCCAGAATCAGTGGTGTCTTCACCACGCCTGGTAGAAGCGACTACATGGGCGATCAAACTCCAGCGTGCTATCGCTGCTACTATCACGAGTTCGGCAGGAGATAAGGTGGTCAAGTTGAGCCTCAATGATGATCAAGGACTTCAAATGGTGGGTTTAGGACGTTCATTTGGGAAATTTTGAGGAAAATTTTGGAAAATTTTCGCTGGTTTCTGTACATTTTCAGCCGAATTTCAATGATAAGTGTGGAAATATATTTCAAGATTGCATTATACTCTCATCTTGTTTATCAGGAAAGTCCCAGAGTAGCTGAGGTTCAATTCCATCCCGTAGTAGAAGCTACTCTTTTCACTCCGTCGCCATCGCCACGCTCGAGGAAGCTCATGCCAGGTAAAGCGTGGGAAAACGTTAACCATAGCAGTTTACGAATTGGAAATGGTTCGTTTTCGCTGAGTTTACAAGAGGTATCGATATAGAAATATAATAAAAATATATCATTAATATAGATAAGAGATTGATGAAGTTTCACCCTAGTGATATGAAAAACACATTCCACGACTGGTGCACATCACCGCGAATATCGAGTTTTACGCCGCCACTTCACATAAAACGGGTGAAACTCCTATGTATTAAATAGAAGTAATTATAAAATAGTGAAGTTTCCCGCGTTTTACGTACAGTGGTGTAATACTCCATGTGAAAAACGCGAAGTTGGCGATATGAAGTGAATTAAAAACACTTCGCGATTTGCACCGGACAAATCACCCCATTTCACGCGTTTTACGCGTTTTTCTCTGCTCACATGCGTTTTTCGCGATGTGAATTTTGAATTTTCTTTTTCACTAGTGTTTTCCATACCACTGACGAAACTCTGGTGTAGTATTATAATTTGACCTCCTCTCTCAGATAGAGCCAACACACTGCCCAGTACCTCCATGGGGGTCCTCAGTTTTAGCTCAAGTCCCGAGCCTTCGCCTCGTTCGCGATCGCCCCGACCGGCCTTCTAAGGGATTTGTATCATACCTATATCGTATTGTCTGTTGTCGTTGATATTTCTATGTTGAGTTTGTTAGGATGCAGATTTTTATTATCATTAGTTGAGATCTGTTATGCGTGGCTTATCGCAGTCTCCCTTGCCAGCAGAGACGCGCGTTGGAGGCTTGTATGCTCTGGGTAGCACTTGGGTCAACTTCTAGTTTGAAATTCGGAAATAACTAACTGATTTTCTGGGGCGCTACGAAAATACGTGAAATTTTGGCTATCAGTTTTTCATATGTATCTTGCATTTGGTGGCAAAATATCGAATTCTCGTTTACTAGAAAGAACGTTGCGAAATCTCTTACACTTGTATGAAATACCCTCTGACGTTTTCAGGGCGAAAACTTGGCAGTGGCTCTTTCGGGGAGATATTTCTCGCGGTGAATGTCCAGACGGGAGAAGAGGTAACGATGGTTAATTACGTGTATTGGTGACAAAATGAGAACTCTGAGAAAATTTCGGCAAATTCTTGCTGGTTTTTGTATATATTTACTCTGAATCGCGAGGAAAATACTGGGCTCACTTGAGGAAACCAAATATATATTCTCAACGAGGTTGGTAAATAATCAAATACTAAGACATAGTAAAAGCACACTCGACGTGATCGCTTCTCAAAATGCTCGAATGGCAGGTCGCCGCTAAATTGGAAAGTGTTAAGTCGAAGCATCCCCAGCTTTTGTATGAAGCTAAGCTCCTTAAGCATCTCCAAGGCGGTCCGGGAATCGCCAATGTACTACGGGGGGCTGCAAATATGAAGAATGCGCGTTTTTTATTCCGGGGTTAATGAAGTTTCACCCGTGATATGAAAAACATATTTCACGACTATTGCGTAGCGTGAATATCGCGTTTTTCACGGAGTTTTACACCAGTTCACGTAAAACGGGTGAAACTCCAATGATAGTGAACAATTTGTCGCTATCATAGTCTCGACAGGTTACTTTTATCACATCACATGTTCATAGCAATGTTTATGCGAGATCGATTCTTATTAATCTCGGGAAATAACACACATCTGCATTAGATCAAATTCACAGGCACTGTATTTTCTAGGTACATTATTGCGATGTTGAAGGAGAATACAATGTACTGATAATGGACGTCCTTGGGCCCAGTTTAGAAGATCTGTTCAATACGTGTAACCGAAAGTTCACTCTTAAAACTTCTCTCATGCTTGGGGATCAAATGCTACACCGTATAGAGTACAACTACTACTCAGCAAAATTTTGGAAGTGGAATTTTTATCAGATACCTACATTCGAAAAATTTTATTCATCGTGATATGAAGCCGGACAACTTTTTGATAGGGCGTGGGAAAAAGGCGGCAACTGTTTTCTTGATCGACTTTGGACTAGCGAAAAAGTAAATCGAATCGCGCGGGTTTTATTTTATGGCATCAGAGAATTTTCGGTAGCGTTTCTCGCAAAGAGGCGTAATACTCTATGTGAAAAACGCGATATGGAGTGAACCCACTTCTCTAGTTAGGACTCCTCTCGCTTGGCAGAAACATTTTTCGCGAAGTGAAATGTGCAATATGTTTTTCCCAGTTTTTTTCATATCACGGGAGAAACTCCAATGTGAAATAGTTGTTTTTATTCACCAAAACGAGTGAATGTATGTGAAATTGAAGTTCCTTTCACAGAATGTGTGTTAACTCTCCGAAAGTCCAACAGGAAAGTTGCATGTGTTCGGAGTTGTTTTCACAGTGTTGGAGGATCACTCAGCTGAGCTTGGGAGTTTCCTCGCTAATTATAGGAGTTTATATACGAATTCAGGTAGAAGTGTACGGAAACAATCGCTAAATTTTCTTAGGATTTGTTTGGAGTTTCATCCGTTTTATGAAAAACACTAGTGAAAAACATATTTTACATTTCCTTACACGAAAAACGCATGTGATCAGTGGATGTATTTCACGTGAAATGGGCTGATTTGTCCGGTGTAACTCGCCGAGTATTTTCAATTCACCTTATATAAGTTTTACGCCACTTCGCGTAGAACAGGTGAAACTCCATCTTGTCACCAAAATATGTAGTCCCAGGTTGTCAAGTTGATACAATGGAGTTTCACCCGTTTTACGCGAAGTGAAATGTGAAATGTGAAATGTGTTTTTCACTAGTGTTTTTCGCATCACTAGGGTGAAACTCCAATAGTGTTCAGCTCAGAGAATGATCGAGAAAAATATAATGTCCCCGAGGGGAACTCACTTTGAAATCACCACTTGAATAGAAACACATTCTTCGATGAGTTTCCCATGTGGATGTCATCTTCGGAATAATTTTCCCATTTTTATCAACGCCTGGGGAGGGTTATTCCTGCAGATATCGCGACCCTAAAACTCATCAGCACATTCCGTATAGAGAAAATAAGAGCCTTACGGGAACTGCGAGATACGCTAGTATAAATGCTCATCTTGGCATAGAGCAATCGCGTCGAGACGATCTAGAAGCAATAGGATATGTAATAATGCCGCTTGCCGGGATCGAACCTGCGCGGGAAACCGTACCGGGGGTTAGGTCCTGATGTACTTCAATCGTGGCTTATTGCCGTGGCAAGGGATAAAGGCTAACACTAAACAAGAGAAGTATCATAAGATTATGGAAAAGAAAATGTCAACACCGGTGGAGGTATTAAAGCATAAAACGTTTTAGTCAAGAATTGGAATTTATGAAGAAATAATATAAGAGTATTAGGGCGTGATGTACAGTGCTTGGTGGCAATTTGATACTATGCAAATGTGAAGAATGTGCGTTTTCTATTCCGGGATTAATGATAGTGAACAACTTGTCGCTATCATAGTCTCGAAAGGTCACTTTTATCACATCACATGTTCATAGCAATGTTCACATTGTTCATGCGATATAGTTTCAGATCGATTCTCATAAACCTCGGAAAATCACGCACATGTGCATATTAAGTTGACACGCACTGGAGTTTCACCCTAGTGATATGAAAAACGTATTCCACTACTACTGCATATCACCGCAAATATCGCGTTTTTCACAGAGTATTACGCCACTTTACGTAAAACGGGTTGTGAAACTCCATAACCTCATTAAGCGTTGGCGGAGAACCACCGAGAATAGTTGAAGTCCTCAGGTGTTAACTCGAGGGTTTCCAGCGGAGTGGGCAACATATCTAAACTATTGCAGAGCATTACGGTTCGAGGACAGGCCGGATTATGCCTATATTCGGAGGATATTCAAGGATTTGTTTATGCGGCAAGGTAGTATTTTTGGAAAAAAAGGGAAAAGAGGAAAAAAATGAAGAAAAAAATGAAAAAAATTGGAAAAAAAGAAAAAAATGAAGAAAAAAATGAAAAAAAATATAACAAAATAAAAAAAATTGATGAAAAATTAATAGAAGGCCAGTGTGTAATTGGTATCACTTCGATCACTGCTATTAGTCATGCTGTATTCGTGGATATGTTATTTACGTTACTGTGCTATTATCCTATCATCACTTGGCTAGGTCAGCTGCTATACAATTACAATTAGATCTTACAAACTCCATGAAGGCCTTGCGCAATGTTGGAGTCGCCAACTTTTCAAATTTTGCGAAATTAATATTTTTTTGCCGGGTTTTCGGAATTTCCGTTTTCATTGCCTTTCCTCATGTCAGGATTCCAAAATGATGGAATTTTCGATTGGATGCAGTTGAACAACTCTGGGAATTCTCGGGGAGTAAGGATGACCAACCAGGGCTCGATGGTAGCAGCACTTGGCGTGGTATGGGAAACAGGGACAATATTATAATGATCGGGGTTTGCGGACGTCATTCGAATATGGAAAAAATTTCGGTTATTCGTGTTGGTGACAATGAGGAAACTTCAGTGTTTTTTGTGTTTTCTGCATATTCCTGTCCCAAGTTGTGCGTGAATTTTTATATTGTAAGAGTGGGGAAATGTGCATATGGTCAACCATATGTGTTGGTAACAATATGGAAATGCTGAGGAAATTTGGGGAGATTTTCATTGGTTTCTGTACATCTCTACTAGAAGTTGTATAAAAACTTCTATAAGGAAGCTCCTAATCTCAGCTGAGAACAGCGAACATATATTCATACTCCAACACTGTAAATAGGGAACCCCCGAGCTCAGCTGAGGAAACCAGGTATATAGTTGAACAGTGTTACCTGTAGGATTGGAGTACATGTTCGCATCCCTCAGCTGAGCTCAGGAGTTTTCTCAATCATTGCATTTTACAGACGAATTCGGGTAGAAGTGTACAGAAAACAAGAACAATTTTCGGAAAATTCCTCATAATTTTTTTCATATTGTGCGTATTTTACCACTCCCTCACTTTGCAGTGGTTTTTTTTGTATCATCAGGTTGATAAGCGAGGATTGGTCGAACCACGCAGACGGAATCATACGAGGTGAGGACCCTGGGCTCCTGATATTGGTCGTAGATCTTACTTTTCATCAGGGAGGACGGTACTGGTATGGCAATCGGAGGAGAAGGTAATAATTACAGCGTTTTAGAGGAGTTTCATCCGTTTAACATGAAGTGGCGTAATACTTTGTGTACACTAAAGGACGTATTATTTCTGCAACCGAAAGTGAACTGTGAAATCGGGTGACTCTCCAATATTTTGCCAAATTGGAGCGGACTAGTAAATGTG